CACTTATTGTCTAGTAGTCAGAATCCATCACCATGAGTTAGCATCTATCAGAGTCGTTGCCCTAGTCTTCAGCAGCAGCCTATCATCATCTTTTACATGTTCATGCACTGTGTGCGCCTTATTCCCATGCTTTGCGCTCCCAGTGTGCTTCACCAGAGTTGACCTAGCGTCACTTTGTGGATCTTGCTTTCTTTGCTTCCCCTAAGGGTTGAATGTATCGCCTGGTGCACTTTGACCAACAATTTAGAGAGTCAGTAGCCTTTCTCTTCCCCCAGAGTCGGGGCCCTCTTTCTTTCTATAGCTCTGCAGCTTAGCAGAGTTGTTGAACCTTCAATGTTCCAAGCTAGATGTTGTCAGTGGAGGGCTAGATGTTGTCGGTGGAGGGGAGGGGCTTGTTGCTGGTACTGGACTGGGATATGATGGAGGACATGATGAAAATTTGATGCTGAAATTGCTAGTGTCATCTGTGAAAGAGCTCTCTGAAGACTCAAAAAGTAATTCCTTAGACTGTTATGAGGAAATGAGTTTTTTGAGTCGTAAAAACACAGTAAAAATGAACCTCAAAGTGGCTCTTTGTCAACATCAAAAACTCCTCCATGCAAAGATGATATTTTGAGTCATTGGTAAACAGCAGGTGGTGTCTGAAGACAGTGTACTTGATGGTATTGAGAGCTATGATTGCACATGAAAAGGAGTCTGTCTGCTTCCCATGAGGCAAGGATCCTTTGCCAAATGGTGTGAAACTGTGGTTTTTCAACCAGTGGTGGATAGCATCAACATATGAACTAGGCATGGACCATCCAAGTGAGTCACCATACAAGATCATCCATGTGCTAGCATCCACACTAATGATGGCCCAATGGACATTGGCAACATTGACAGGGCAAATGATGCACTGTATGGTGCCATCGTGAAGCAAGTCTCTGAGGTAATGCAGCCAAGTAAAGGCTTTGTCGAAATGATACTTTGACCACCGCATGTTGCCCAGGAACAATATATTTGAAAAATCAAGCGTCTTGACAGCAGTATCATTGTGTTCATCCACACAATCATTGATAGCAGCAATAAGAGCATCAAGTACATGACCATTGACCATCGTGTCAGTGAGTAGAGGGAGAAGCTCTGGTGTGCGAAGACTGGTCTGAGCACCAAACCCCTTCAAGTCAACATCCCATGGAAAATGCTCAAGCAAATCTAGAACCTCATCTACAACTACTGACTTGGAAGCACCACAGCCTGTGTCCTCTTCATCCTCAAGCCTCTGAAGAACCCAATCATGGGCTGATATCCAGATGAGATGAGCCTCCAGGGCACATGAGATGTCCCTCCAGTATGAAAGAACCCAGAACAGAAGGTGAAATGTTGGGGAAAGTGGATGGATGACTGAAGTGTGACCATTAAATCAAGCCTGACTGAACTGATTGAGGAGCTGAGTGATGCAATGGAGTAGGGGAATTGACCATGCTGTGAAATCATTGGGAAGGCTGAGGAGAGGGGGGTTTGTTGAGAAAATGATGGTGTCTGGGCTAAGATCACAGTGCAGTGATGCACAAAGATTGATGTCGAGTAGCTGTGTGACAGGCAGAGTCTGAGATGGGATGGTTGGTTGCATTGAAGTTGGGATCCTGAGTAACCATGTGATCTCACATCAAACAGAAGGCAGCAGTTTGCTCTGGTCAAAAACATGACCACATGAGAGCCATTCTGAAGCAACAAACATATCAGTTTGTGATGGCATGATGGGCACTTGAAAACAGATCATACTGGTAGACTCACCTGGCAGGCTTTAAGACCATGGAGTCTCCAATTCCACTTGTTACCATTCAGCATGATGCAAGGCAAATCCACAACAGACTGAAGCAAGTTGCTTGAATCATGAAGCAGCATGTCAAATGGTTGCAAATGGCATTGCGAGCAGCGAAACACCACATCTGATCTGCAGGTGAATCTATTTGGGTAAGGTCACAGGTCACCTGGACATTTGAACCTGTAACACTAAGTGTGACATTGTTACAGGCTGCACATGACAAACCTAGTGTTGTATCTCTACAGTATCTTCTATCTATAAATCTATAAATCTATAAAGTAGGATGTGACAGGTGGGAATTGTCTTGCCAGCTCACATGGCTTTCACTAAGGAGCACTTAGTTCAGCTAATTCAGTTAACTCAGCTAATTTCTTTTTGGAAATCTTGTGTGGTTTTGTCACATTGAAGGTTCAACAACTCTGCTAGGCTGCAGAGCTAAAGAAAGAAAGAAGGCTCTCACTATGGGGTGAGAGGAAGGCCTACTGACTCTCTATGTGTTGGTTGAAGTGTGCCAAGTGATGTGTTTGACCCTTAAGGGAAGCAAAGAAAGCAAGATCCACTGGGTGATGCCAGATCAACTCTGGTGAAGCGCACTGAAAGCACATGCATGGGAATGTCGAGCATGTAGGTGCGCGAAGTGTGGGAATAGAGCACATGTGGTGCATGGACATGTAAAGACTGATGGAAGGCATGAACTGGGGCTGCTGAATGGGCTGGTGACAATAATGGACTTGGGCTGAGGACTAGGGCGACAACTGATGCATACTGGCTGAAGATGATAGATTCTGACTATGAGATACTAAGTGACATGATGGTGGTTCATGTATGAAAACTTCCTCCAGCAACAGGTAAGCTGTGCCTAGGTGTGCTCCCAGGGTTCGGAAGCGAATAGAGGGTGCTTTAAGTATGTAAGTGAGATAAGGACAGGGTCCATGATGAAATAATGCCATACAAGTACTGCATATGGTCTGATAATGAGAATAAATGAGGAAGGACTCACTAGGGAACTGGTTGGACAATGGATGGATGCTCTGGGATGCTGCGCGACAAAGTGTGACCAAGTGCAGTGAAGGTTCAACAACTCTGCTGGGCTTGCAGAGCTAAAGAAAGAAAGAAGGCCTCTACCTCTGGGGTGAGAGGAAGGCTACTGACTCTCTAGATGTTGGTCGAAGTGCACCGAGCGATGTATTCGACCCTTAAGGGAAGCAAAGAAAGCAAGATCCACTGGGTGATGCCAGATCAACTCTGGTGAAGCGTGCTGAAAGCGCGTGCGCAGGAATGTCGAGCGCGTAAGAGTGTGAAGTGTGGGAATAAGGTGCACGCAGTGCGCAAACATGTAAAAGACTGGTGAAAGGCATGAAGGCGTGAACCAAGACTGCTGAGTGATAATGGACTGTTGCTGGTGACTAGGGCGATGACTGAAGCATACTGGCTGAAGATGATAGATTCTAACTCATGATGCATTCTAACTGCTAGATGACTACTGGATAGTGGTAGCTGTATCCTGCTCATGGTGGTGGTAGGTGTATGAAAACTTCCCAGGCAACAGGTAAGCTGTGCCTAGACGTGCTCCCAGGGCTCGGAAGTGAATAGGGAGCGCTCTAAGTATGTAAATGATGTAAATAAAGGGTCCATGATGAAATAAGATATGGTACAATGCTAAATATGAGAATAAACGAAAAGGGGCGCACCAGGGGACTGGTTGGACAATGGATGGATGCTCCAGGATGCTGCGCGACAAAGTGCGATTGAGTGCAGGAAGAGCGCGCTAAGTGCGTGCGCGGGAATGCGTCGCATAGTGCAGGAAAGCGTCGCGCCTCTGGCGCGTTTCATGGGAAAGTCATAGCTAGTGAGTTGCACATTATACCAATTGTCATGAGTCGCAATATGGGCGATATACACCTGGAGGAATCTTGTTCCCTACAGCGGGAATGTGTCGCATAATGCAGGAAAGCATCGCACCTCTGGTGTGTTTTGTGGGAAAGTCATAGCTAGTGAGTCGTGTGCTGTACCAATCATCGTGAGTTGTAATATGGGCGATATATGCCTAGAGGAATCTCATTCCCTACATCTCCTGGGTACTTTAAATACTGAGTGTCCCCACTCAGAGCATGTCTGGTGGGAATTTCGAGTAGCGCCAGTGATAATGGTATGTGGTGATCGACGAGTATCATGTGTGTGTGTTCAGATGGTAGTGCAATGAAGTGTGATGAGGCATGAGAAATGCGTGATGTGCGCGAGCATGGGAAAGCGTGTCACATAGTGTGAAGATGGTCGCATATGGCAGATTGTGTGAAGGGATTCTGATGCATGGAATCATGATCTGAGCTTGAGACTATGGTAGTGATGATTATGCGAGGGGTACTTGGCTGATGAGATGACTGATGGTGTGGAATGTGCGCAGATATGTCGCGTGAGGTGCAGGAAAGTTGTGCATGAAATGCACGAACTGCAAGACTGTGAGACTGCAAGGAAGCATAAGGGGCTGATTGTGTGATGATGTCTGGGTCCAATGCAAGTGTGCAGGTTTAAGGCGATGGTGAGTGGTCCAAAAGTGATCCAATCCATGTCCAAACCAAGTCCCACTAGGCGATCTAACTATTAGGGATTGAATGGCATGAGTAAAACTATAAGCAAAAATGCGAAAGTGCGAAAGAGACAGCAAACTGTATGGATGTCCGAGTCCGACTTGGCTTCTTTGTTCTTCTGTCAACCTCTATTCCTTCATATGCATTGCGGAAGTGCAAGACTGTAGTGCATATGAGGCATGTGGCACGGGAATGGTGCGCGCATGCAGCGCATTCTAAGGTAAATAAGGTGCATGGTGCCGCTTCATGCGTTCAAAGAGAAATGATATCCTACTGAGCTAGGTGGGCACAATCTATGGTCTTTGTTTTTCTTCTTTTCTTCTAGTAATTTTCCTATAAGTGTATATATCAGCGCGTTATTAGTCCCTTGGACGATGTTATGATGCGAAAATGAAAATGAAAAGCACTGGACAAAACCCAGGGTAAAACGAAATATATCCTATGAAGATTGGCAGTATATGGTATTTTGAATTGATGGAGTGGAAAAGCGGGTGGTGAAGGGTGAAAAGCGCGCAAGGCGATGATGATTGGCGACTAAGGGTGGTGGTATCTTCATCTTCTGACTCTGCGACGTCTTCTCCTACTGGGTATATACTAGATCTTCTTCAAATGTGACGTGATGGCAGACTGGTGACTGGTGGAATGAATTCTTGCACCTTGTGGTACAAGTTGAAAGCGCGCCCTAATGGGGCGATGTGAGGTGCGTGGAAGTGCTCTAGGGTCGGGTAATGTGCGCTTGAGCTGCGCGCACAATCATGATTTGGCACATTGTCTACTATATCCTCTAATGTGAGGACTGGCTGATACACTGTTAGAATATTGACATGAGCTGAATGATAAGCGAAATTAAGCGCGAATATTGCGCGACTGCGTCTGATAGACTCTTTATCAAGGGCCAATTGGTGCCAAGACATAAATGGATATCCCTTGATAGGATTTATAAGGACAATATCAACATAATAAGTGGATGAGTGGAAAATGCGAATTAAGGTGAAATATGCGAAATCAGAGGTGATGAAAAATGCGATAGGCGTGTGAATATGCGCAAGGCGAGCGTGTAAGTCGCGCATAGGCGTCAGATTAAGGCGGGACTGATATGAAGTCCAAGAAAAGCAACTTGAAAATGATGAAGCAGTAAAAATGCGATAGCAGGAAGACTCTTCTGCAATGATGGTCGCATATAGCGCAGGAATATAGGTGCGTGGTGCGCGAATGCAGCGCATGAATGACGAAATAATGGTGAACTGATGCGAAGATGAAGGCAAATGGCTCCTTGAGAGCATAAGACATGAAATGAATGAAAAATGCGATATTGAGTGAGGATGAATATACAGTGCCTCTAAGTGCGCAACCTGCGCGACCTCAGGCGCAATACAGCACTCTGAAGGCGCCTCAGAGTCGCCTGAGACATACTCTACTTGGTGGATAGGTGATGCAATGCACGGATGTTTCACTGGCAGACAATAGTCACTGTATGCTGAAAACATGAAATGTGCGAAATCATCAGTAACACGCAGGGTTACCAGAGACATACTCTGGTCGGATAGTGTCGCATAATGAGCCTCTGACACTGCAGGAGACTCTGGGATAGGCGCGTGAATGGGTGTGTGAATGGGCAATAGATGTTTAGAGTCATCCCTGACTAAAGGCAACAAGTTACTGTGTGTGAAATCATCAGTGACTAATGGGGTTTCCAGAATCGTACTCTGGTTGACTGGTGGTGTAAGATGAGCTTCTAACACAATAGAAAGCTTTGGAATAGACGCGTAAATGTGCAATAGATATTTAGAGTCATCCCTGACTATCGGTGACAAGATCTCTTCCAGAGGTGCTTCTGGAAGCATTGGGATGATGATGGGCTCGTGTATTTTGAGCTGGGGTGGGGTGACTTCTGCTGATGGATACTCTGGTTTGGGTATGGGCTCTGGAGGTGCACGCATAATGGGTGCTTCGATATAAGCTGGCAATGATGCAATTTTGTCAAAGGGCGCTTCTTGGGAGATGGGGATGAGGATAGGGTCGCGTATTTTGCTTTGAGGTGCTATAGGCGCAGTATAGGGGTGCACTGGAGTGCATTAAGGCTGCTGAGGTGCACATACAATGGGTGCTTTGACTTGGGCTGGTGGTGGGGCAAGTTCAATGACTGGTACTTCTGGGAGATCTAGACTGGGATTAGCAATACTTGGGGCACATTGAGGCACTATAGGCGTGATCTCTGGTCGCTCTAAGGTGTGTTCTGGCTCCTGAGGTGCGCACACAGTGGGCGCTTGGATGGCAGGTCGCATATATGTGTTTTGTCCTGTTTCTGGATACATAGACATAATCTCATTAGTGAAATCTTCGAAGCTACCTTGTCTATATTCAGGCAGTCCCTGCCATAGCTCTCTGAAGTGTGCATCATGAGTATACTTGAGAACATACTTGATGCGCTGGGTGCCCAATAGGTTGTTCATCTGTCCAAGGCGATCTACATGCTGTAAATGCGTGAGGACCACAAATGGATCCCCTGTAAAGCATGGTGCATTTGGGTACCTGGGCCAGGGCATGCCATCTCTGTTGACTAGGTCACTCATGGCGCGTGAATGTGCGAGAGAAGCGTGGGAAAGTGCGAAAAAGCGCGGAAAGGTGGAAAGGTGAAAAAGGTGAAAAGTGCGGATGAAGTATTGGAAGCACAAGTAGGTGGAATAGAGTTGAAAGGGTGTGTGGATAAGCTGACTGTTCCCCTCGTAGTGGGCTCCAGTTGAAGGTTCAACAGCTCTGCTAGGCTTGCAGAGCTAAAGAAAGAAAGAAAGAAGCCTCTACCTCTGGGGTGAGAGGAAGGCTACTGACTCTCTAGATGTTGGTTGAAGTGCACCAAGTGATGTGTTCATCCCTTAAGGGAAGCAAAGAAAGCAAGATCCACTGGGTGACACCAGGTCAACTCTGGTGAAGCATGCACATGGGAATGTGGAGTGTGTAAGAGCACGAAGCGTGGGAATAGGGCACACACAGTGCACAAATGTATAAATGACTGGTAGAAGGTGTGAAAGCGTGAACTAAGACTGCTGAGTGGAGACTGATGATAGTAGACTGATGCTGATGACTAGGGCAATGACTGATGCATACTGGCTGAAGATGATGATTCCGACTGCTAGACACTACTAGACATGATGGTGGTTGTTGTATGAAAACTTCCCAGGCCACAGGTAAGCTGTGCCTAGGCATGCTCCCAGGGCTCAGAAGCGAATAGAGAGTGCTCTAAGTATGTAAATGATGTAAATAAAGGGTCCATGACAAAATAAGATATGGTACGATGCTAAATATGAGCATAAACAAAAAGGGATGCACCAGGGGGCTGGTTGGACAATGGATGCTCAATACTATTGTCCATTCAAGTGCAGCAAATATGTCAGTAAATAAATAAATTTGAATGAGAAAACTGAGGAAGAGGAGAACAGGGGAATGGGCCAAAAGTGCTTGCTGCACTCACACCTTTGGCCCATTCCCCTGTTCTCCTCTCCCTCAGTTTTCTCATTCAAATTTATTTATTTACTGTACATATTAGGATACAGCCAAGGCCAGGAAGCCAAAAAAGGAGCACAAAGTGCTCCATTTGGCTTCCTGTGCTGAAGGCACAATGGGTGGTGGACTGGTTTGAACATTTGAACATAGACCAGAAACATTCAGTGTGGAGAGGGAGTGTGAGATGCTGTCAAATGTTTATTAGAAGTAATAACTTGAAAGTTGATGGTAGTCCTTATGTATGGGAAAATGCATGTCATGCTGGTTGGGGCCTGAGTGCTTCATCTACATGTGCACAGCAGTTAACTGTGTGAACAAACAATTGCCCAACTTATTCAACTCCCAACCAGACTTTCTGGTCTCAGTTGGTTGGGATTGCAACTTGCCTACAACTTTCTTCTTAAGCTGAAGAAAACCTTTTCTACAAGGAGTCTGAGCAAGAGGAAGACCCAAATGCACCTACTCCAGCAGGCTCTGAGTGGCAGATTGACATGATGCTCTTTGTTGGGGTCCAAGCCAGAGGGGTCCAAGGTATGACTCAAGTTATGAAACAACTTTCCATTAGCTCACTCTCTACAGTCTCTTAATTTCTCCAGTATGACTATTGATGACTTCACTGAGTTGAAAATCATGTTTACTGGCTTTATTTGCCTGAAGCCCAATTCTGAGGAATGCATCACAATCACTACTTCCCTCAGACAGAGTGAACTTTGGTCTTTGTCATATCCCACGATCCAGACCCATGTTCCATCATATTCCCACGCCTTCCGAGCCTACATCTGGACCACACTTCATATCCAACTCATTCCCAGATCCCCTTCCACTGTGTACTCCACACCTCAGCAGGATCGACTATACTCCGGATTTACCCCTGAGCTCTGGACCTCTGGATCCTCACTGCTAGCCTGATCCATACCACCCTATCCTGTCCACCCTATGCGCACTCCATCCAGCAAGACATCTGGACTTCACCTTGTCTTGGATTCCGGACTATATCCACCTTCTCATATCCCAGTCCTGTATCCACCTTGTCTTCCAGATCCCCAGATCTCCAGACCTCTGGATATTAACTCTGGACCTATTCCCACCCTCTGTCCAATATCCTGCGCCTATCCCCATTTAGGCATTCTCTGCCTTCCAGCTTTCAGTTACCTCTTGTTCCATCTTGCTTATTGATCCTTGTACGAGTCCTCATCTCCGAGTTCATATACTTATGTTCCGACTTACTTACTAATGTGTTTCCACATGCTCATACATAGCCTTGCTCCTTTGCTTACTGATCCCCTCAGATATTGTTCAGTATATAACCCCTGTAGATACTCCTGTAGTTCCTTAGTTTGAATATCAACTTAGACTTGCCCAATCCTCTCTTGGACTTTGGTCCACCTAAGTCTGTCCTACCCATCAGGCCTAGGGATTGATTCCCTAGGCCAGAGCTCCGCTTTTCCAGCACTTACCCTCTTTCCGGACTTAGGTCCAACCCTTGTCTCTCCAACTCTACCTTAGGGTAGTCTACCTCTGTTTGTTTCTACATTAGACGAAGTCCAATGTAGCCCCTATTCCTTCCAGACCTCCGGACCTCCTGTCCCTCATACCTCCAGGCATCCTGTCCTTCAGATGTTCCGCCCTCCATACCTTCAGATGTTCTGTCCTCCTAACCCTCAGACATCCTATCTTCCTGTCCTTTGGACATCCTGCCCTCTGTACCTTTGGACATCCTGCCCTCTGTACCTTTGGACATCCTGTCCTTCTGTCCTCCATCATCCTGCCCTCCTGTCCTCCTGTCCTTCTGTCCTCCATCATCCTGCCCTCCTGCCCTCCTGTCCTTCTGTCCTCCATCATCCTGCCCTCCTGTCCTCCTGTCCTCCAGACCCTCAGACCTCCTATCCTTCCATCCTGTTTCCTGTAGAAGTATTACCTTGCAGTGGGAACTCTCTGGAGCACTTCCTGTGTTCCTCCAGAACTCTCCTGCGCTCCTCTGGAAGTCCCCTAGCACTCTCCAGCAGAGTAGCCAGCCTCTGGAAGTCCTCCAGACTTTGTTGGACCATCATCAGACCTCATACGAAATGAAGGGCACATACTCGGGTAAGGGGCACAGCATATGAGCTGAGGCCAAACCCCTCTGAGCCAGTCTCTCTCCCCCTTGAGCAACATGGTTCTTAACAGTCTTCCATGAATCTGTATTATTAATCATATTTGTTGGAAAGTCTCATTCCTACATAGGACAGTATGCTAATGATCTGTCAATCTTTGTGCTGCTCTCATACTTTGTCAGACCAAACAAGTGCTCATGATGGATTGACGCCTTCTTCTTCCACACATCTGCAATGCTACCACCAATTAAGTGTATGATTCTCAACATGGAACACGTTTTAGCATGACTATCAGCCCGTTGAGTTTGTCAATCCTTTTTGGATTTGTAGATTACGCTGCCATAGTAGCAAGTCAACACACCACTGGTAAATATGCCTCAACTCATCTCAATTGCCTAGCACATTGTTTCCTCTAGCTTTCTTTCTGACATACTTGGACCTTTATGTCCTCAAGACATCTAGCTTCTTTGTTATAAAAGCCAAGCTTTTCAATCCCTCAGAACATGTTCCTCAGGCAGTATCTGAGATGTGTGTGTGCAAAAGCTTCTCTAGTAAGCATATCCTGCCAGCTTTTAGGTTTGCATTTCCAATTTACTACATTATCTCAGGAAAAAGGTCCTCCATAGTGCTCCAACCAATGGATGTGACTGGGTCTTCCTTCTTATCAAGCTCAATGTCAATTATGACAGATCCTCTTATCAGCACTCTGGTATATTGCAGTTGGACTCCATGAGGAGTCTTGATAGCTGGCTAGTGACCGCTGGGCCATGGCTTGATTTGATTGCTGCTATCTTGTCACATTGGGTCAGTTCAATGCTAATATGCATGATTGAATTGTGGATTGATTGGGATGCTGGATTGAAATTAGCTCTGTAGACCTGGGAAGTGGCAATTGGTTTGAACTAGTATAAGTGATGATACTCTGCACAACGTCTTGTGTACTAATGATGTTCTTGAACCCCAAAACTAGAGACCCACTGCAAGATAGATTACTTTGTCAGGGATTCGTTTGTTGCCAGTGGCAGCATGACATGCTGACTAGAATGCAAACTCAGCACACAGAATGTCTTTCTCAATGATATAAAGTAGTGTCAGGGGATCATCTCATGACAAAAAGGGAAGTATCAGGCTGCTTGCAGTCCTGCTTACCCTTACAAGTAAGGTGTGGATATTCTACTACAAAGCTTCAAATGCACCTGCTCATGTGACTGCGTCACCAGAGATACTATGTAGTACTGTTGGCCAGCACACAGGACAAGCTTCCAGACAAGCTCAAGCTTGCTGTCGACAGCCAAGAGTGCCTTGCTTTGCACCCAGTTGACCCTGTCTGAGTGCCACAAAGGAAGGAATCATACATCTCTTACATCCCAATGCTTTTGAAACAGCCAAAGGTGTTGGAATGTAAGAATAGATGTAGAGATCCTCTAGGCATGGTTCCTTCCCAGAGTGATCTGCCTTTGTTCAAAAGAGGTGAGCTGCATGGAGAGGAATAGGCGCAAAAGCTGCAGTTAAATGCAGCCAGATTCCAGAATGGCACTTTCATTTCAGGTCATGCTGGAGAACATTGGCAGCGGGTAGCATGATCTCGTTCTATACTGTCCACAAGAGAACTAATAGATCATTCTGCAGGTCCTCCAGGTTCATAACAGATGTGTGCCATACCACCCCAGCAAAGCGATCCATCATATCATTATCATTCAGATCTGAAAGAGTGATAAATGACAAGGGAACATGATGGGGGTTATCACACATTGGAAATGCACATGATGCTGGTCAAGGGCCTGAGTGCTTCATATACACAGCAATGATGCCACTGAACAAACAACTCCAGCCCCCTCAACTCCCAAATTGACACCCATTGATCTCTGAAAATTGCACACTGGGCTTGTCTAAAAGGTGATTCCCATGAGTGATACCCTAAGATCTTCTGCAGATTAGAGCTGACAACTTCCTTACCAGCAACTTCGGATACTCAAAGA